TTTGGGGCATTGTGAGAATCATCTCGTCAATTTTAGATTGTGGGATTTTCGCCCACTCTTGCTTCAAAACTTGAGAGTCGATCGCTCTTTGAAGTTGGTATTTTTGGTCGTTTCTTGACTTGCCAGTCGAGTATGGCCCAGAGGTTTTCGATGGGGTTCATGTCAGGAGATTGGCTCAGCCAGGGCAACTTCTGGATACCATTTTCTTCCTGCCACTTTTGGGTGTTTCTAGCAGTGTGACACGGTGCTCCATCTTCCTGGAACAACGTTGTGTTCTTGTCCATGAAACCAGAGGAATAAAGCGGCAAGAGTCCTTCCTCCAATATTTCGACGTATTTCACAAAATTTATGTTGCCAACTCATTCCACTAAGTTCGATCTCCCATCAACCCAAACAGTTTTATTTAAAACGTTGGTGATATAATAGAAAATAGTTTAATTCAGAATTTAAGTTTAAAACTGAATCGATATTTTTACTTTCGTGATAAATTTTATGCACTTGCTCTAGGCTAGGTGATCCTACACAATATCTTCACTTTAGACTTATTATACCAACACTCACTGCACTTATAATGTTTCATGGCACCCCTCCTCCCGTCACTAAAATCGTAATGGGCAGATAGTAATCGAACTATTCTATCTGATTAAATGCATTTTGGCTTTTATGATTCTCCCTATTTCGAGAAATCAAGTGTGAAGTAACACACACTGGCTTCTATGTAGGTTAGATTTTTCTAACAAATAATATGCTATGGAAATATCTGGAAACATGTTATAGTCTTTGATAGATAAGTGTTTAATTTTTTGAGTGAAATATCTTAGATTTATCTAATATGGGATAAATAATCACGTTATCTCTTTACGCCTTCTTAAGCCTTGCAAAAATGTCTTTTAATCTTTATCATATAAATGATAATAAATATAACCTTACATTTTCCACATATTATCTAGATTGATGTATTGATCAATACAAAGAGTATAGGTGTTTTAAGAAAAGTCAGTTAGATCATGTGTTGTGTTAATTTTGATGTCTTGAAATGTGCTGTTATCTTGTTGGAGGAGACATTGCAGAATATGTTATGAATTTGCTGAAGGAGGCATTCCAGAGCATGTTATTAAATTGCTGGAGAAAGCATTGCAGAACATGACAACTCATTGGAGGAAGCACTCTAGAATGGAATTTTTGACGTTTATAGAAAACAGCTCTAAATTTGCTGACTTCATTTAAAAATAACTGTTAATAGAGCTAAGTTTTGTGTGTTTTGATTTCTCCGCAGGGAAAACATTTTCTATGCTAGGAAACAGTAATTCACCACAAAACCTCGGGGTTATACCTTCCGCTGTCAGTTGGCTCTTTAAGCTGATCGACGAACACAAGGAAAGAACACAGTCCAGGTTTTCTGTGCGTGTCTCAGCTGTTGAAGTGAGTGGACGAGACGAGGTTATCAAAGATCTACTGGCCAACTTTGCCTCAGGTTAAAACCACTTTGTGTCCCCCTTCTCACTCCTAGTTATTCTTTTTATCTCCATTATTTTAGCAGTGTATTCAGCAAAATAAAGTTGAACGGGATCATACTGATCAGCATTTTTATTGTGTGGAAAATAACTGTTTGAAGTTTTGCATGAAATTTAGTGTAGTCAAAACAAAATTTTTATGTTTGTTAATTACAGTATAAAACCTGATTAAGTATTATAAGTTTATGGATCAAAATCACATCAAATCTCTCATCTTCAACTATTTGTGTAGCTTCCAAGAGAGACACATTAAGTCAACCTTATGTGATTGGGTGTAAATTTTATTTATTACATAAACTATCTTCATTGTAAAAGGAAAATGACAGTATTTGATAGTTGTGTCGATAAAAACTCGGTTTACGCCAAAGTAATGCATCAGAAAAGAGAAGTTTTTGTTTCCACAAAATAATCGTATTTGAGAACACATTACACCCTAAAATAATGTACAGTGTGCAGAAAGCTCTGCCCTCCAAAATGTACTTGTATAAGTAGAACGTAATATACGAGAAGACAATATGCATGTAATCTTCTTAAATAGTAAAGCCCATGAACTCAGTCGATGTGGATCTCGATGGAATACTTTCTACAAGGTGACCAAAAAGTCTGGAATCATCAGCACTTCAACGTATTTTACAGAATGTGTTGCACATGCTGTCCTTGTGATTCGAAATAAGTTTGGATTAACAACAGAATTAACTCGACTTTCTCATGCTTTGACCTATGGTTCCAAACTTTTCGGACACCCTGTATATTAGACTTTTAGATATTTGATCATTATTTTCCGTAGAACTGTGATTTTTTTCATGTGTACAGAGGTAATGAATTGCATTTTAAATAAAAGCAATGTAACTATTGTACATTTTTGCTAGGATCTGAAGGGAGTAGTCCCTCACCGGGCATGTACTTACAAGAAGAAGTCCTATTTGGTTCTCACTTGACGGAACTGAGAGCTCCAAACGCTGAAAAAGCGGCGTTTCTTCTGGATGCTGCAATCGCAGCTCGCAGCGTTCCTGGTAAAGTTTATTATTATTTTTTGATAATTTAATAAATATACATTATAAACAGTTAGTTAGCAGTTCAAACACAAAATGTTGTCCAATATAGTAAATCAACATAACAAAAGATTGTACCTATTTAAAACCATAAACTATGATCTAAACTACATATCTATGTCAGGAAAATCCATCTTTCTGCTTTATATGTTGTTTAATATATTGATGTAATCTTTATATTTACAAACTTGTTTTTGACATCCATCAAGATAACAGCGAATGCTTTGGAGTAATATGGCATAATTTTAGATTTTAATGAACATAACACTTCACAAACATAAAGCTATTTAAGATTTTCATGTGGTAATCACCATACTTGTGAAACATGCATATATTGGGCAAAAAACAAAAATTAAATATTTGAGCTTCCAGAAAAAAAAAATTAATTTTATGTAATTATACAACAAACTTACAGTGCAAAACCTACAAGTCAGTCCTAAAATAAAATTTCGTTTAAGTTTTTTATGAAAATGTATTTGAATTAAGGACAAAATCTTGAAAATAATTCTAACACAATAAAATAAATAAAATAAAATTACGGTATTTTGACAATCCTTGATTTTTCTTGGGATAAAATAATAATGACTTTAAACAGTTCATCACTCTCATCTATGTCTTATAAATATTTTATGCAAATGTTTTGTATGTTATTTCAGCAACTCCAGAGGATCGACAGAACAGTCACTTTTGTTTCACACTTAATGTATACCAGTACAGAGCAGAGCAAGGAAGTCAAGTTGGAGGTATGACACAGCTCAGCCAACAGCTGTAGCTTGTTCTTCATGTCATTGTGGACGTGTTGCTAGTGGTCGTGTTAAACGATAAGTCAGCGTTTTGATTTATTTTGCACGAAATTGACTTTGAATGTGCTTCCTGTCTTTGAAGTACTCGGTAGTTGATAAATATGTTTCTCACAAATTATCGTTGTCGTCCCCCAGTAGTACAATCGTAAGTCTGCGAACTTATAACCTTAGAAATTGGATTTCGACACCCGTGGTGGGCATAGCACAGATAGCCCGCTGTGTATCTTTGCGCTTAACTACAGGCAAACACAAAGTATTAATCTAGCTTGGAACGTTAATTCGATTCATTCAATAAACCTGACAGTTACAATAAACATGCTATGATTGTATTAACACAGGACTTGCTATCAGTGCTAAACACGGATTTATCCAAGGAAGTTGAAATCAGTTTCCTGTAGAAGTCTGAACATTAGACGCGTGTAAAGTAAGTATTATAGGTTTCTCAAGACAGTATGAAATATTTTAGTCAATAAACCTAAATGTATCAAACTGCTACATGCAAATATATGACTTTTGCTAATTGGAAGCTCTCTTATTGGAGATTATCGTTCTTTTGGTGTCATACGACAAACTTATTGCTTAAAATCACAATATAAAGCAACATTTAAGAATAATTCCCGGCCCGGCATGGCCAGGTGGTTAGGGCGCTCGACTCGCGGGTTCGAATCCCCGTCACACCAAACATGCTCGCCCTTTCAGCCGTGGGGGTGTTATAATGTGACGGTCAATCCGACTATTCGTTGGTAAAAGAGTAGCCCAAGAGTTGGCGGTGGGTGGTGATGACTAGCTGCCTTCCCTCTAGTCTTACACTGCTAAATTTGGGACAGCTAGCGTGTAGCTTTGCGCAAAATTAAAAAAACAAACAAAAAATAAAACAAGTATAATTACAAATGTTCATATTTAATGTCTTGAACGATATATTAGATCTTTCTAGGAAATAAATATACGTAACAGTTGTTTGGAATATTACGTAGTTTCTTTATAAGTACTGCTTAACTTATTTTTACAAAATATTTAAAAGTTCTAACAACGAGTAACTGTAACATAACGTATTTTACATTCAGGAATCAAATAAATGGTAAATTAAATGCTGCACTATGAAAACAAACTTTGAGTAAATCAACTATTTTGTTTTCAGTTACAGGTGGCCGAAGTCGTCTTCACCTACTGGACTTAGCAGGGTCTGTTGACCAAACAAATTTCTCAAAAGATCCGAATCATCCATTGTCAATGACAGGCTTAGGAAGCGTCCTCGCAGCTCTTGTAAACGGTCAAAGACACGTGCCTTACAAGTAAGTTATAGACGTTAATAGCTAAGCTCGCAACTTTTGGCTATGGTAAGTCTGATTGCAATTGAAAAAAAAAAAAGATGGGTATGATTAAAGACCTAAAATGGTACAAATACGCCACAAAAATCAATACTGGTTGAATTATAGTTTTAACAGCTATAGGTAATCTTGAATATATTATCTGTAATAATAGCGAAGAGTCGTGTTGTATATATCACTATGATGATAACATGCTTTACAGTTGAGCTTTAGCATAGCAGGTATAGGGAGAACGACATGACCTGACATAGAACGATCTTCTGTAGAGTACGATTTGGATAACACAAGGATATATTGTGTATATAGCTTGTGGCAAGTTTAAGTGCCTTGATATCCCGAAATGTCGATGGTCTGCTCCCTGTTGACCTATTACAAAGCATAGTTGGTCACTCAGTATGCGGTTGGTAATGTCAGGAGCAATGGAATGCTGTGTTCAGGTTTCATCTGTTTTATAGTTGCTAAGCTTTAATTGACACAAGGACGAATCACCGTGAGCAGCAGTTAATTAGAACCGAGATCTGTTGACGACATTTATACACAAAATGCAGATAACAAAATTATATTACTGTAGATTCAGTCAAGTACACTAAGCTAACGTTTGTTTAAAGGGGGTCTTATGAAGTGAACAAGATACACATCGCTGCCTATTCTGTAGTACCAGCCGCCATGTCACAAGTGTCTTCTTCATCTTTCACCATATGAGGTGACCAATATTATAAGATATGGTAATACATATATAACATTTTAGTATTTATTAATAAAGTAAATATACTCTGATTGACAGGTACAATCATGGCCAAAATGTTTGCACACTGTTTTATATTGATACTGTTCTATATGGATGTTATTGTCTAAATGCATGGAGTAGTTATTGAGTTAATGCCCGAGTAGTAACGAAGAAGGTAGCGTATGATCAGACAAATATGTACGGGTTTTATTCTGGTCTATATAAGTTGTTTTGAGCATTTGTTCCTCAAAACAAATATACACACCTGTTTTTGTTTAAAAGGATGTGCTTTTGGTAAAATATTTTTTTAAACAGATCAACGCTTTGTTCAGACAATTTCTCTGTACTTGATGTAGAGTCATGTCTCGTCACGTGCCAGAAAGTATAGAACGTCAAATTTTTCGACTGTCCAGAAATTGTATGAAGCACATGTGCATTGCCAGAACAATAGAATACCCCCAGTGTACTGTATCCGAAGTACTGAAACATCATAGGACTACAGAAAATGTTGTTCCAGGAAAGTCTACTGGTAGATACCGAAAAACTACTGCCCAAGTTGACCGTATTTTTATCATGTTAACACGTCAAGGTCGAAAGAAGTCTTGTAACACCTTACAACAGAAACGGCATGAACACAGTCATTCCAAGGCCAGAAAACAGTGAATAGGAAAATGGCCAAATAAGGTTATTTTGAAAGAAGAGCTATCTGCAAACTGATATTAAACAGAATTCACCACCGTCACCGTGTTACTTGAGCAAGACAGCATACCAACTTACAGTTAGAACACTGGTGAGATGCCATCTTTTCAGATCAGTCCTGTTTCCGGCTTGTTAAAACTGATAGTAGGATTCGCGTTCGTCGTTTGCTTGAAGAACAGGTCAGGCAAGACACAGGAGGTGGTGTAGTACATGTTTGGGAAATTATTCATCATGGTAGAAAACTGCTCTTCATATTCTCCAGGAAAACGTCAATGGCGCCTCCTGTAGGCATTACATGGAGATGATATTTCTGCCATATGCTAGGACAAGGTTTGACAGTAGCTTTGTGTTCCAGGATAACAAGCCACTGCCCACAATGCACTTATTGTACAGGATTATCTCGACCAGGGGGACATTACAAGATTGCCATGGCTAGCAAAGTCTCCAGATTGTAATCCAATTGAGAACTGTTGGGCATAAATTAGCAGAAAGATTGCTAACCACGATCCTAAACCAGCTACTGTAGCTGAGTTGCAGCGCCTTCTAGTGACAAGTTGGGTTGAAATCACGGTGGATTACATCAATAACCTCATCAACAGCATGCCATGTTACCTTGTGGATGTTATTTGCATATGAGGAGGGCCAACAAACTACTGAATGATTAATATGAACTGATATAAAGTCATAGACGCTATTTATAACAAATTGATGCTATATTTTGTTATTATATATGTTTTCGTAAAGTTTTGTTTTGATAGGTGAAATGCTGAATTCCACATCTTTCTACAGGTGTCTGATAAAATTGTTTGCTGTTCTAATAAATCGTTCATGATCTCCATAGAACCTGTCTCATTATACAAATTACATATGTAGATGTTTATCATAACATGCATTTCTCAGTTTGACGCCGAACAATTTAATTTGACGCCCTATAACTTCTGGCATGTGACGATGCATAACTCTATAACAAGTACAGGGAAATTATCTGAACAAAGCGTGGATCTGTTTAAAAAAAAAATATTATACCAAAAGCACATCCTTTTATACAAAACAGGTATCTATGTGAGGTTTGACGAACAAATGCTCAAAACAACTAATACAGACCAGAATAACAACTCGTACATATTTGTCAGACCATACGCTACCTTTTCCGTTACTACTCGGGTATTTACTCAACAACTACTATATGTATAACATTAATATAGAAGAGTGTGTAAACATTTTAGCCAAGACTGTACACTGAGTGGTCACAAGTAAATAGACACCTGAGTTTTTGGTCATTTAACTGATTTATGCTAACTAATTTGTGTTCACAGAGCACTATATAAATGAAAATGGCCCGCACACCAATTATCTTGTGTTACAACATGCCTAGAACTCAAGGTTCTCTCGAATTGTCACATTTTGTTAGAGGAAGGATAGTTGGTCAAGCAGATGGTGGAATAAGTCAGCGGCAAATTTCGCAGAATTTGGGAATCCCTATTTCGACAGTCGGCAAGGAAACAACTGAGCAGCGTCCGGGTCGTCCTGGTCCATCAGAGAGGACAAAAAGGACTGTCAAAAGGACCATCGAAATGGATCCCAGATTAACGACTACAGAAGTGGCCAAAGTTGGTGGGATGAGCCCGAAATCTGTTCAACGGATTCTCCACAGATTGGGTTATCATTGCAGAGCAGCTAGATGAAAGCCCTTTTTAAGACCTGCCAACATAGTCAGACAAAAGAAGTAGGCAAGTGATATGATGACCAAGCCTCTGGACTTTTGAAAGACCGTATTGTTCTCAGACGAACCAAGATTCGCTCAATTTTCGGACAGTGGAAGAATATGGGTCTGGAGAATGCCTCACCAAGAGTTTTGGCTCAACAGATTGCAGCCAACTGTGAAGCATGGTGGTTTCAGCGTGATGGTTTGGGGAGAAACAAACCTCTTTTAATCAACGGAGACTCTAAATTAAGAAATCAACAAATATTTTTCCAGTTTTGTTTTCTACACATTTCATTTTATACTTTCAGTACACAGACTAACAACAATATTAGGTTATACTTTTATTGTTAAGCAACATGACACAAAAGCCATTGTTGGAATACGCCACGAATTTATTTCACGAATGATCTTAATTTTGATTGGCTCACTAAAGTATTTACCAACGTTTGACTGCCTCGACTGCACTTTTCTGCGTCTTTGTTGGCCAAGGTTGATTTCGCAAAATTTATGTTGCCAACGCACTCCACTAAGCTCGATCTCA